ATATAAATTAATACCACTATACAAAACATAATTCTGAAAAGTCAAAGCATCAGACAATGAATGATAATGAACTACTTTGTAGACCAAATGATTTTAGAGTCAAATGTTATTCCACTTGTCCAACAGCTGAAGCATGATCCAAACTGGGTCATGATGCAACACAACGATGATCCAAATACAGCAGTTAATCAACAACAGAATGGCTGAAAAAAAGGATCAAGATGATACAGTGTTTAAGTCAAAGTCCAGAACCTCAGCCTTCCTTGTTTTTTGTTTTTGTTGTTTTTATTTTTTTCCCCACAACTGCTTCTGAAATTGAACTTAGTTTTAAAGTAAATGAGTCACATGTTGCTGGACATCTCCACTTGCCTAATTTAAGACGTAATGTGGTCCAAATGTTCATTAACTGTTCTTACATTGATATAGCATGTCTTTAACAATTGTATGGAGTTTGATTCTTTGATTCTTTACTGCTGTTTCAGATTGCTTTTTCAGTTTTACCATTTTGTTTCGTTTGTCTTTTTTTTAGACTGCTGTTTTCCCGAAGCCAGTGTTAACATTGATGCTGCAGCCAAGCCACTGTGAACCCCTTAGTCTCTGTAGTTTGAGACTTATGACAAGAAATGAGACACTGCAGACCCAGAACACATCATGAGCATCCAGAATCTGGGTGGAGCCATAGGAGAGTCCCTGGGCTCTAGCCTGACAGTGCGAATGAGTGGGGCAGGTGGTGGTTGGAGTGCTCTCTCCCTGAAACCTGCAACCTCAGTTCGTATCGCCTCAATTTTCCAAACGATGGTCCCAACTGGTTATACCAAGCTACAGGAGGAGCGACAGGCCATGGTTGATCTGGGAGCTAAGCCTGAGTCTGGCTCGCTGCAGAATGGTTACAGGCAAGAGGCTTCTCATGTTGAAGGCAGACGGATCCTTGATCGGGCTTCTCGGTCCTCTGTAACTTTATCTGACTGTGGTGATGGAGGCTACACTGAGACTGAACCCATGCTAGCTGAGGAGAGACTGTCTGGGGAGGAAGCAAGTAACGAAGAGGAAGATGATGAAGGATCAGACAGGCTGAATGTGCCAAAGGAGTCGGCGATTTCTATGGCTTTGCAGATTGTGGTGCCTTTTCTTTTAGCCGGATTTGGAACGGTGTCTGCTGGAATGGTGCTGGATATTGTTCAGGTACGCCAAGTTGCAACATAGTCATTAAGCAGCAGCCAGCAGAGACTCAGGCTGGAGACAGGCTGGGATTATTTACTTCAACTAATGTTCAGAACACAACAGTCTGCAGACTGAGAGGAGTGTTTAAGGGCAAGTCAGAACAGGTCATTTTTACATCAGACTGCACGTCACCAAATTAACACCTTCTCATGGTGTAAAAGGTAGTGTTGTTACAGCATCAGAATTTTAAGCTTAGTTGGTCAAGAAGCATAATTTTTAATAACAGAAGTCCCGAATATTATGTTATTCCAGCTGTGGTGCTACTAACTGAAAATGAGAAAAACATAGCTTAATTTAACATAAGCTGGTTAGCTGCAAACTTAAAGTACCCGTGACATGCCTATCCTTCAAATACAAAAAGTCAAAGAAAACATATTTATACATAAGAAAATTGGCTTAATACACATGATTTTACCCATTTTGTCTCATAACTGGCCTGTTTTCTTTTGGATTTAGCTCAGCCAAAGCGGAACAGGAAGTGACATCAAAATAGAACTCTTTAATGAAATAAACTCTCTAGTCTTTGTTTATTAAAACAATATTATTTAAACTTTAACTCTTTTTCATCTCTCTTTGATAGAAACTCAAAATAACGTAAAGAAACCAGATTCTTCTTGCAGTCTCTGTTGTTAGCTGTTGTAGCAACGCTCTGTTTACATGCAGACATTCCCCTTTGACGTCACTTCCTGTTTCTTCACACACAAATATCTCAACAACTGTTCRTCTCAGTGGTGTGAAATTTCTTTTGCAATATGTTAACATTCTCTTTCCAAAAATGCAATTCATGTTTATCAAAAAAAAATTGATGTCACAGGCACTTTAACTGAATGACCAAATGACCTTTAACTTTTAGTGCCTGTGGCAATCATGTCCTTCAAATTCAAGAAGTCAAAGAAAACGTTTATATTTAAGAAAATTGATTTATGATTTTATTCCTTTTGTCACTTAACTTCATCTCAGCAGTGTGATTA